AAGAAGCAGGTCTTCGCTACCCAAGACATCTACTTCAAAGCGGGTTGGAAGTCTGCCTGCGAGCATCTCGGTCAGGGTCCTGATACTGACGTCTTTGCCACCCCGCCGCCTGCTTTCCTGCCAGTCTGCCTCGTGCCATATGCCAATGACGTCTTCAGTGCATTGCAGGCTGAGGCCGAGGAAGGGCTTGAAGAGGAAGAGGCCGGGGAAGATACTGACGGAGAGGAGCAACCAGAACAGGAGCAGCCCGGCCGAACTGAGCCCGGTGTTGAAGACCGATCTCTAGCAGTGAACTTGGAGACAACTCCGGATGATGAATTCACCAATCTCTCCCCCTTAGCTTAGTTTACTTTTTTTTTTTTTTTTTTTTAGCTAAGTTTTGGTTTTTTTTTTTTTTTTGGTCTTGGGTTTTGGCTTTGTCTTTGGGTTTTGTGGGTTGATTTGTGGGGATTATTGTATTTTTATTGTATTTTTTTTTGGTTAAGTTCTTCTTAATTTTTTTGTTCAAAAAAAAAAAAATTCGTGAGGCCAAGGGGTTGGTTGTATGGATGCGAGTAGCAATAGTAGGGGTATTTTGTACTTTCGAATCTCTCTCGATGCATGTCATCTTCCTGTACCTTTAATTTCATGCTTTCAATGAAATTTTTCTTTGCTGATCAAAAAAAAAAAAATGCTTCAACTAGAAAATGAGTTATGCATTATCACTGGAATGGAAACTCAAAGGATCGTGATCATCCAAAAATGGATACTTCACACAAGGTAAGCTTTAATTGTTTAAAATTTTAATTTTGTTTGGTTTTATAGCCTTCAAAAATTCTCCTTCCTTATAACAAGACTCTCTTAGTCTTAATAAAGAAAATTATTCGCTCCCCTTACAAAATTTGAGTTTAATTCTATTTGGAGGTTTGTATGATTTATCGGCATTCTCAATTGATCTATCTATATTATTATTTGTTTTTCTATTCATTTGTTTACTTTAGTAATGCATACATATGTCTATTCTCACTTCGCCATTGAATGACATAATTCAATTGACCATAATAGTTATATTCAATTCTTCTTAATTCATAGCAATTGATTTTCCTATTTCTCATATGTATTTTGATGCGATTTTTCATACTACAGTTTCGTTTGATGCAATTATTCTTCATTACAATTTCTTCCAATTTCTCATATGATTTTGATGCAATTTTTCATAACTATTGGTTTTTTTAAAGCGAATTTAAGCGAGTGATTTTGTTGTAGGTCATTGATCCATATTGAAAACATTGGGTTACGTTGCTTCTACCGGTGTGTCATTGGTTGGCTCTTTCATGTTAAATTATTTATTTATTTATTTTTAGGTTAGATAGGATGATTCTTTTGTATCAAAATGTTCATTGACCTTTATTTGAAGGAATTTAAACCTGATAAAGCGAAAAGGTTACCAGTTATGATACTAATTCAATAACATTCTTTTATTGAAAGTTATCCCATTCTAACTTGCTATAGTGTATAGATGTGCCATTTTGACGTGGATAAAAATCTAAAATTTGCTATTTAGACTTTAAGTTTAGCAAATATTTCTAGATTCTTTGCATATGCTACATTCAAATATATAATTCATTTTTTGGACTTTCATTTTGAAATTTGCTATTTGAAATTTATAAATGCTTTCGCTAATTCAATGTGTAGAAGCAATTTCATTTTCTTATTTGTGAAGTTTTAAGTCAGAGTGATATTACCATTTTGAATTGATTTATTATCATTGAATTTTGTAGCACGTGATACCAAAAAAATTGTTGGCAGTGCCTTTAGGCACGGGTCATCCCTAGTATATATATATATGGGGGAATGTAGAGAAATAAGGAGAGGTGAATCAACTTTTTCATCTTTTATTTTTTCACTTATCTTTTTCTTCTTCCTTTCCCAATGTTTAGAGTCGAAGCAACTAGGAAATCTAAAAAAAATAAAATAAAATATGTGTAAAAGAATTTTAAAAAATTCAATAAATATAAAAAAAGTACAAAAATATATTTATATTTTTTTATATTTAGTGAATTTAAAAAAAAAATCACAAATTTTATACTTTTAAGTGTCTCTATATTAAATAATCTAAAAAGTAAAAATTGATTAAAATATTAAAAAAAATTCACTAAAAATTAAAAAATACAAATGAAAAACTCATAAAAAAAATTTAAAAAACAGATGGGCTTCCCTCTAGTCTGTCCGGGCCCGTGGTAGCTTTGTTTTAATAATTTAAACTATTCATTTTGTCAGGCCCTTAGAATATATTATGCATACAAAAAAATTAGGTAAATTCAATAATCATAACCTATTTAATTTATCGCATTTGTCATTAAAAAAATAAATGGTTTATTTAAAAAAATACATTTGCTGTCTATTTTTATAGAGATAAATGCAATAAATTAAATATGTTATGATTATTAAATCGAATTAATTTTTTTTTTTTTATGTAATACATACAAAAGACCCGATAAAAATAAACAATTTAAATCATCGAAATAAACCCACCGTGAATCTCACGGACCCGGGCATCACCCTCAAGGGAATCATTCCTTTTGAAAAGGAAAAATCCTTAACCATTGATTCTCTGATTCCTCCCAATATTTTCCTTTAGAAACCAACCACTCTCTACATTCTCCCAATCGATTACAAATAGCAGAGCAATTGAAAGAAAGAGACAGAGCGAACACCTACTACTGGGCATAATGGGCTTCTTGGTCCGGCTTTGTGGCTTGTTGCTTTGCTTTGTTTTATTAAAGTTATGTTGTAATTTGTACTCATCAATAAAAAGAAGAAGAGAGAGGGAAGAGGCGATGAAGACAGCGGGTGCTGTTGCGGGTGCTGTTGCAGGGATGGCTTTTGCGGGGCAACAAAACAAGAATTCAGAATTTCCTTCTAGCATTCTTCAAGTCATGAAGTTTCGCTTTAAGTTTTCTTCTGTTATCCTCTTTTGAAGTTTTTCCATAACTAACTAGGATCACTTGGAGATGGCACTCTCTACATTCTCCCAATCGATTACAAATAGCAGAGCAATTGAAAGAAAGAGACGGAGCGAACACCTACTACTGGGCATAATGGGCTTCTTGGTCTGGCTTTGTGGCTTGTTGCTTTGCTTTGTTTTATTAAAGTTATGTTGTAATTTGTACTCATCAATAAAAAGAAGAAGAGAGAGGGAAAAGGCGATGAAGACAGCGGGTGCTGTTGCGGGTGCTGTTGCAGGGATGGCTTTTGCGGGGTTGGGCCTAGCTATGCTGGCATCATCATCATCATCGTCATCATCATCATCATCTGGCTCAGAACAAAAGGGTAGCAAGAAACTGATGAAAGCACCAGGAGCAGGAGGGGACTCTTACATCTACAGGGATGATTTTGAGAGAAACCCAGCTGGTTATTTCCGCAACAATCGTCTTAAAGAGTGAAAGATGAACAACTTGGTCTTATGTGTTTTGACAGGGATTGGGTTTCTTTTGTTGTACTCGTCTTTTTTGAAGCTATGGTTCGTTCCTGTTGGTCTAAAGACAAGAATATGCATGGTTTTGGCATTTTGGCCAAGAATCTTTTGTTTTTGAATTTTGTGTCTTCCGTTGTAATGCAAAATCAATCCCTAAAGTAAATTATGTGAAAATCTTTCATGTGGGTGAATCTTCATTTTTGATTCAATGTTTGGATTGTGTGATTTGACAAGGGGAAAAAAAAAAAAAAAAGTAATCCAAACCTATAGCTGAGTATATTGAAAATAAAGCCACACATACACAGTTAAGGGGAAAAAAAAAAAAAAAAAGTAATCCAAACCTATAGCTGAGTATATTGAAAATAAAGCCACACATACACAGTTCTTTCTGATTACATATTGCAAAAATATCTGAATCCTTCAAACCCCAAACATCTGTTGAGCAAAGAGTTGATACAAAACATTCCACATGGTTGGATGGTTGGTGAGCATGGAAAATAAGAAATACTGTTGACAGAGCAAACATACATAGTTCAAACATGTACATAAAAGGCTTATTATTCCAAGAGAATTTCATGTTCATGTTCATCACGACTACTTTCCTCGGAGACCACGAAAGTAACCACGGGGGTCGCTTTCAAAGGAGAAATGTTAGAGATCATGAAATTTTTTTATGAAAATGATCATGAAAAATTTGTGACCCTTAAATTACCTTGATTAGTGTGTGGTGCTTTATTGTAAGTGTAATCCAAATGTCACAAATTTTTAATGGTCATTTTCATGAAAGACTTTTCATGATACCTAGCATTACTGCTTTCAAAGACAGACCTGACTATCACAAGAGCCCCTCTGGTTCCGGGAGCTATCATCATCTTAATTACCTTCCCACCAGAGACAGTGTCGCAGCCAAAATAGGAAAAGAGAGATCTCATTATTGTGATAAACAATCTGCCGCAATAATAGAGGAGGATGAGGAGAACGATGGCGGCGGTGGCGGGGATGATATAAGGTTTAGAAACTTGGATCAAATGTTGGATTTGTTCTTCCACCTTATCCATCAAAGTCCCTGCCACATTACTGGCAATTCCTTCCACTTCTCCTCCGCCGTACCCATCAAATTCCCACCCATGTTCCCTACCGCAGCCGGCAATTCCTTGGACTTCTCTACTGCATTAACTCTCTGCTCCCATCTCTTTCTCTCTCTCTTTTTCTCTCAACATCACCCTCACATAGTTCATCATCGAAATCACTGCTCTCTCTCTCTGACCAAACAACTATACAACTTAGAGGTGATACAACTTCTTCCTCCTTTCCTTTTTCTTTTACTTTATGATTTTCTCTTTAGATTAAAGGATTTGAAGAATAATTCTCTGCTCCCATCTCTTTCTCTCTCTCTTTTTCTCTCAACATCACCCTCACATAGTTCATCATTGAAATCACTGCTCTCTCTCTGACCAAACAACTATACAACTTAGAGGTGATGCAACTTCTTCCTCCTTTCCTTTTTCTTTTACTTTATGATTTTCTCTTTAGATTAAAGGATTTGAAGAATAATTCTCTGCTCCCATCTCTTTCTCTCTCTCTTTTTCTCTCAACATCACCCTCACATAGTTCATCATTGAAATCACTGCTCTCTCTCTGACCAAACAACTATACAACTTAGAGGTGATGCAAAATTATAATTAGATACTAATTTTGGAATAATTATACCATATTGCTTTGAAATATAAATTTGATAATGTTTTATCTTTTTAAACTCGTGCTGGCATAAGAATAATGGGACAAAAAAATGGTGCAGGCTAGTGGGATAGAAGATCCGAAACTTTTTTCTTCATGACAGAGGTTTTGCTTTTTCTCTTTGTTTTTTTTGGATTGATAAAGAATGATATCGTCGACAGTTAAATTTCACCATAATTTAGTTTGGTAGTGAATATCATTATTCATGTGGACATTTTTTATCATAAAAATTTTAGAAAAAACGTACAGTTCAGTATATATAAAGAAAAAAAAAATTATAAAAACAAGATGGATAAATTACAAAAACATGGGAGAAGTGCAATTTAAAGTTGCACTCCAATTATTTTTGTAATTTTTTTTTTCTTGCACACTGAACTGTAATTTCTCCAAAATCCTATTTAACATTGACTAAGAAATCATTGATTAGTGGTGCTACTTCTAACTGTTCTAGGAATCAATCAACTTTAAAAGGACCCAATCCTAATCCAAGAACTGTCCTAGACTTATTTTAATGTCCAAAAATCTGTTAGTCAGTAAGCTACTAATGACTTCACCATCTATAATTCCTTATCCGCAAACTAATTGCCTAAAAAACATAAACACCAAAAATATCTAAAATTTAATTTTAGTGCGATTCAAATTCACACCAAATTTAAATTAACGCTATGAAATCTTAATATTTTTTTCTGGTTAGGTAGAAGTGGGTCTAATCACTTTCATCAATTAGTGGCGCTGCTTTTGCTTTGACAAGTAAATCACTTTCATCATTGAAATCACTGCCCCCCCCCCCTCTCTCTCTCTCTGTATACTTTTTTTTGGTTTCGATTTTTGAAAATTATTTTTTTTCAAGTTTTCAATTCATATTTTTTTTTAATATTTTTTATATTTTAATCAATTTTCTTTTTCCATTTTATAGATGCACATAATCTAAATAAATTTAAAAAGTATAATATTTGTAAATTTTTTTAATACAAAAAATACAAAAAAAAATGAAAATTAATATTTATTGATATTTTCATATTTTGTTATATTTGTTGATTTTTTTTTTTACAATTTTCTTTACAAATATTGTACTTTTTAGGTACATCTAAAAAGTAAAAAAAATATGATTAAAATATTAAAATAGTTTAATAAAAATTAAAAAATACAAATTAAAACTCAAAAAAATAATTTTTAAAAACTGAAACCAAACAAATTAATACAACTTGAAACATTTGGGGCAATATAAAAGCAGAGTTGAAGGGATTAGGATCATCTCCATTCTAAATTTGCAATGGAGGCTGTCCATTACATATCCTATGACTCTAAAATAGGTATGTAAATTTATGATTGTTATATTTATTAAAATAATATTTTTACAACCATTGAATAATATAATCAACATCTTCCATTATAACTATCTAATGGAAAGAATCCTAGTCCAAAGTGAAGCAACTTCTTCCGCTTTTCCTTTTCATTTTCATTTTCCTCTTCCTTTTGGCTTTTCTTTATGAAAACCATGTCCTTTTTCCTTTACCTTATGAAATTCATGTGAAGCAACTTCTTTGTGGTTTCCATTTCCGTTTCCTTTACTTTATGATTTTTTCTTTAGATTATTATATTTGGATTAAGGATTCAAAGAGTATTTTGTGAAGAGAAAGCCTAAAGTATAAAATAATCATTTTATAAATTCTTACTCAAATTTTTTAATCAAACATTATCTTAAGATAAATTATACTGATCTCTTCCAATTAATTAATAAATTATAATTATGTTATAATTACACCATAGTTTTTTGAAATATAAATTTCATAATGTTTTGACTTATACAGTTAATTAAAGGGTTGAAAATAATGTTGTTTTGCTTTTTGTCTTTTTTAAACAAAAATGTTTGTTTACTCTTCGTTAACCATGTTCAAACATCACCTAAATCTAAATAGTCTTAGTTTATGTTTAAACAACACGTTGAGAGAATGAAGGTAATTATGTAAATTAATTAGGTAAAATGGTGTAATTGTATCATTTAATACCCGTACATATTTAAATACAAAATATTTAAGCATAATGCAATAATTTCATCACTTTTGTTAACACAGCTAAAGTTTTCAATATTGCAAGAGACATTAATATAAGTTTGTAAAATTGTATAATTAAATATAATATTAGTATAATAAATCTTACTACTAACGTATATCTCTAATAGAGGAGGATGAGCAGGGCCCACTACAAGAAAATGCAGAATTGGCGACTAAAATAAGTATTTTCGTCGCTGAAAGTAGGACAAATGGCGACTAAAATCAGTTTAGTCGCCAAACTTGAGCACTTTTGCCGACTAAAGCACTTTAGTCGCCGAATATAGGGCTTTTAGCGACTAAAAGTCAGTTTAGTCGCCGAATATAGGAGTTTTTGCGACTGAAAAAATTTTAGTAGCTAAAAGGCACGGTTTTTGGCGACTAAAAGCATTTAGTAGCCAAAACTATAGGTTTTGGCGACTAAAAAATACTTTAGTCGCCGAATATAGGTGTTTTACCGACAAACAAATTTTTTGTAGCCAAAAGTAAAGGTTTTTGGCTACTAAAAAAAATTAAGTAGCTAAAAGTGGACAAATGGCAACTAAAACTGAGTTTAGTCGGCAAAGGTGGAGCTTTTGGCGACCAAAAATCAGTTTAGTCGCCGAAAGTTGTTTTTTTGGGCGGAAATTAATGTATTTAGCGACAAAACAGCATTTAGTAGCCAAAAAACATAGAATTGGCGACTAAAATTCATATTTAGTAGCCAAAAGTGCTCCCCTATTTTTTTTTTAGTAAATACTTTATTTTTTTCGTAAAATATATTAAATAAAAATAATTATTTATATATATATTGTTTTCTATTAATATCGGTCAATATATTATATAAATAATATATGTTGCATTTATATTCATGTGATGTTCTTGTGGCGTAGTGGGAAGAGTGTTGGTAAAGGTTTACAGAGGAT